TCGCTAAGCTAATGATCGATAAGCTAATGATCGTGAAGCTAATGATCGTTAAGCTAATGATCGTTAAGCTAATGATCGCTAAGCTAATGATCGTTAAGCTAATGATCGTGAAGCTAATGATCGTTAAAACAAATGTTCGCTATGCTTAAATTTTGATATCCCAATCAAATTTCTTTCTTTTGAGAACTTTTTTCCCGGATCTGGAGCGCACCTTAAAATTTTGACTACAAAATTTACCGAAAAAACATATTTTTTGTTACACTTGTATCTTGAGAGGGTGAGAAAAAGTCGTTGACTCAAAAAAAGAAAGAAAATTGAAGGAAAAAAAGGAGAAAAGTGAGAATGATTCATGATTTCGGAAACCTCTTTTCCGATCGGAGAGAAAATCGATTTGGAATTCGGTCTGGTTGTTGTAAATTTTATGTAAAAGATGGAAAAAAACAATGTTTAAAGATAAGGGATCGGAAAAGATTGAAAAACAGAGCTACTTGAAAGATCGAAATTTATCTATCATTTCTGGAACGCAGTGAAAAAGATTAAGTCGAAAAAATCCTAAAAACATCAAATTTCCGGGTTAGTATAAAATGACAATTGGACAAAATTTCCTGAATCACTTTAGAACAAAAAAAAGGAAGGGATTAACTAGGATCTACTTTGGTTTTGTGAGTTCCATGATTAGGAAATAAGCAGGAAACTCTTGCACTAATCCCTTCGTTTACGATATTACTCATCTTTTCTTTTCGACGAAAATTTGTTTCCCATTGTAAGGAAGCTATTTTTGAGGACAAAAGTGAGCAATTTTTTGGTTTAATTTTGAAATCTTGGAGATCTTGAAGACGTAAAAACTCCGGATTTCGAATATTTTCGAACCGAAAATTAATCCACCCATTTCGCAAATTCATTTCCTCAAAGAAAACTTAAAGGGAAAGCCAGAGTGGACCTCTTTCAATTCACACCAAAAAGCCTCAACTAGCCAACCCCAATCTGTACCTTTAACAATGCTTCCTCTCATTGCAATGAATATCCTTACTATCTCCAAGTACTTCACTCACAGGGCGCGTGAAAATTATTGATCATCTCTATAAGCTTTGTAATTTACTTGAAAGCTTGTTCACGAATTCGTAAAACAAGGAAAATGATCCACAAAAACAAAAAAGTTATGAAGACTTGGTTTGACCTTTTTTTCTCGGATTTTCTCGTGAAGACTACTTGAAAAAAAATAGACCCTGCGGCAGACAATCTTCATTAAAATCGCCTCAATCTTTTGTTTAAAGCTGATATGAAAATCACTCTAAATCTTTATTTCAGTGATATTTTAATAGTTCTTTGTTTTAATTTAGCCAAATAAGGCTTCTGAAGAGGCTATAAAATTGAACAAATTTGCGATATGAGCGGGATAATATGGAAAATGGAAGACATAGATTGACCAAATGTGAATCTTTTCAAAAAATTAAGCCAAAGATGACCTATTCTTAATTAAAATATTACTCAAATAAAGATTTATCTGAAACAAACAATGAAATAGACAAATAGACCAGAAGACAAGTTTCCAAGAAAGTTCGCAGACAAGTTTCCAAGAAAATTACAAAGCTTATACGGGTGGTCAATAATTTTCACGCATCCTGTATCGTCAGAGTAAATAACTTTAAGTAAATAGCATAAATGGCCTTTGAAATGAATAGTAATTAGGTTTATAAGCCAGGCCAGGCAAGCTAGGTTAGGGATAGATAAATGATTTGCTTTCTGGTGATTGTTAGGTCAGGCTAAAGTCTTTGCTTTGCTTGGCCTGAAAAGTGCAGAAAAGTAGGCAGGAGTGATAGTGAGGGGTGAGGGGAGGGCGGAGGATAGATGACTGGGTGAATAGATCAAGAATGGATAAAGATTTCTAGAGAAAAACAGGATGGACAGGTTCCATGCAGATTGCATGGATCCTGTCCATGCAATCTGGAGCGCACTGGAGAGTTTCAGCACAGAAAAGTACTTTGCGCATAAATGGCTTTTGAAATGAATAGTAATTAGGTTTGTAAGCCAGGCCAGGCAAAGCAAGGTTAGGGATAGGTAAATGATTTGCTTTCTGGTGATTGTTAGGTCAGGCTAAAGTCTTTGCTGTGCTTGGCTTGAAAAGGAGGTTATTGAAAGGTTTATTGAAGAAAGATTTTCAAATTACTAAACCTTTCCTGCAGTAAGTTAGTGTTGAAGATGGGGGAGGCGTTGTGTGAAGGAGTGGGCACAAAGTAATTAGTGTCGAGTGAGTCCCCTGCTCTATTCCTTTCCATTCCTTTGCATTGCTTCCATCGGATTTCATCTCCTTTTTTGCTCTTTCCGATGAGAAAACGTATGTCTATCCACCTCTTTTTATCTCTTCTTTTTACCCTTTTCTAGAGATAATTGGAAAAGCCGGAAATGAAGATTGACTCTTTCAAAATGCGCATAGGAATATATTGGAAATTGGAAATGAAATAAAAATCGTAAAAATGAGAAATCGTAAAAAAGTCAATCTTCGAAAAATGGATTTCAGTGTCATTTTGACGGTAAATTGAAATGTGAATAAGAATTGATTCTTCTAGACTAGAGTGTAAATCATTTTTCAACTAGAAAGCTGGCCTGGCTTATCAACTTAACTACCAACATCAATTTGAAAGCTTAAAATTCAAAAAATGAGGTACAGAATTGTATCGAAATTGAGCGCACTAGTGCTTTGAAGCTAAAGTTAAGCCGATTTTTCAAAACTATTTAACTGGTTAGTAAACTCTGGGTGAACTGGGTGAAATAAATCCAAAAATCTCATAGCCAGAATAGCTCAGCTCAATCAAATGATCGCAAAAATGAGTTGAAAAAGTGATCGATTGTTTGAAATCTTTGAACGACCCGTTCTCCGCGCTGCTTTATGCTACAGTGTGCGATTGAGTGTTAAATGATTGGCCTTAAAATCTAGTATTGCTTGGTACCAAAGTTGGAAAAAATCTAGGGCACGCTGTAGCATAAAGCAGCGCGGAGAACGGGACGTCCAAAGTTAGACTACACGACTGAGAAAAAATGATTTTCTAGAAAGAAGTTAGACTACAAGGGAGTCGCATTCTATTAGAGTATTTTGAGTTACGTTGTTGGACCAAATTGACTCGAGTATGTTCAAGAGTTAGATCCAAAAAAGAACTCTGATTATTTAGCAGAAATGTTATCCGGAAATTTCCCGAGCCTGGTTAGACAAGGCCAGGGGCAGACCAGTCCAAATAAGGTTAGTCTTGGACAAGACCTGTAACCAATTTTGTTCAGAGAATTGGCGACGGGACAGCGCCGTTTCTTGATCGAGCTCATCTGGAAAAGAGCTCTTTGATGCTTTTTGCTTAGCTGATAGTAGACAAATACTCTAATAGAATGCCACCGTTATAATGACGGGTGTACAGTCGTGTAGTCTAACTTTGGACGACCCGTTCTCCGCGCTGCTTTATGCTACAGTGTGCGATTGGGTGTCAAATGATAGCCCTTAAAACCTACTACTTTTTGGTACCAAAGTTGGAAGAAAATCTAGGGCCTGAGAAAGAATGATTTTCTAGAACTGGGTGAAATGAATCAAGAAAATCTTAAAAGCGCACTAGTTCTTTGAAGCTAAAGTTAAGCCGATTTTTCAAAACTATTTAACTGGTTAGTAAACCCTGGGTGAACTGGGTGAAATGAATCAAGAAAATCTCATAGCCAGAATAGCACAGCTCAATCAAATGATCGCAAAAATGAGTTGAAAAACTGATCAATTGCTTGAAATCTTTGAGACAAACAGAAGGAAGTTCAAGTGAAATGAAAATATTAAAAGAATTAAGTATTTTTTTAAAAATTATAACATTAAAAGAGGAAAAGCTAAAAGAATTGTTTAGCTGAAAATCTCGAGATCACATGCAATAAGGGGAAAAACTGGAAGCTTGAGGTAAAGACCAATATTTCACATGGGACAGCCGTTCGATTACAATCCTCTTTCTCAGCTTTTGATCCCAGCTCTCACTCACAATCACTTAATGATATCAAAAAGTGACAGTTGAGAATTGTACTGGTTGTTAGACAATTGTACTGGTTGTTAGATACTTGCACTGGTTGTTAGACAATTGTACTGGTTGTTAGACACTTGTACTGGTTGTTAGACACTTGTACTGGTTGTTAGACAATTGTACTGGTTGTTAGAGATCTTTGAAATTTACAGATTACAAGTTAAACAACTGAGCAATCAAATCCTTTATTCTCTCAAAATAAATCATGTCTCGAGCTTCTTGCTGATGGTGATACCTCTGTATTGTGGACAATATCCTTTGTATCCTTTGTCCAATTATTTGAGTGTTTTGCCTCATAGTGAACCTTGTAAATTTTCCGTTTCCTTTTCAAGAAACATAACATTTTGATGACTGTCTCCCGGTAGGGCAATACGTAATAGATTGTGATACACGGATTGATCGAGCTCACCTAGAAAAGAGCTCTTTGATGCTTTTTGCTTAGCTGATAGTAGACAAATACTCTAATAGAATGCCACCGTTATAATGAAGGGTGTACAGTCGTGTAGTCTAACTTTGGACGATCCGTTCTCCGCGCTGCTTTACAGTGTGCGATTGGGTGTCAAATGATAGCCCTTAAAATCTAGTATTGTTTCGTACCAACGTTGGGAAAAATCTAGGGCACGCTGTAGCATAAAGCAGCGCGGAGAACGGGACGTCCAAAGTTAGACTACACGACTGAGAAAAAATGATTTTCTAGAAAGAAGTTAGACTACAAGGGAGTCGCATTCTATTAGAGTATTTTGAGTTACGTTGTTGGACCAAATTGACTCGAGTATGTTCAAGAGTTAGATCCAAAAAAGAACTCTGATTATTTGGTAGGAATGTTATCCGGAAATTTCCCGAGCCTGGTTAGACAAGGCCAAGGGCAGACCAGTCCAAACAAGGTTAGTCTTGGGCGAGACCTTTAACCAATTTTGTTCAGAGAACTGGGCACGAGACAGCGCCGTTTCTAGTCGGTTTTCAATCAAACTCTTGTAAACTCACAATTGCCATCAATAAGAAAACCCATTCCTCGAAATACGGTGCCAGATCACCGAATCTAGATTCTGATTTTCCACGGCTAATTGATAAATGATTACGGTAATTGAAATTGTCTCCAAATGTAAATTGAGGCCTGGCTCATCATGAAGAGCGGGATAATCGCTTGAATGGTTAAAGCCTAAAATCGAGTTTCATTTACAAATGACTTCAGCAATCCCACCTTCACCAGCTTCTTTTGTGCATCTTTTGTCTTATTACTCATCGGATTTGCTCTTAAAATGTACATGATTCGAGTACGATAGGTGATCGCTGCTGTATAGCCAGGAAAGATTGGCAAACAGATCCAAATGATAATGGCCAGGGTTCTAAAGCAAAAAGCAAAATCTTTTCACTCAAAGAAATCATACGTTTTCTGAAAAATACTCTCATAACCGATGAGGGCAGCAACTTTCGGATCATCAGGGAAAAGGGAGATGTTTCGGTGTTCGATCAACATCCTTCTAACAATGACTGGATCACTTGTCGATGAGGCGAACATTACCTAAAAGTATCAGGAGTTGAAGTTCGTTCTTTAGCCCAATTTTCAAGTCAGTCAAGAACTGAACCTGAGCTGATATGGGCTAGTTGAAGCAGGCTGGGTTTTCAAGCCAGGGCTGACCCAGGCTGAAATAATTTTTAGAGTTAAACCTGACTACTAGGCAAGCATGACCGGTTCTCCAAATTCAAGTTAGGGCTGACCCTGGTTGGCCTACAAAATCTCTAGGACTAGATCTGTCAGGACTGACTACTTGGCAGGTAGGGTTCAAGCCAAAGCCAGACCAAACCAGGTTCATGGGTCTGTGGTCTTCATGATTAATTAATTGAAAAAAAATGAAAAACTGCAAGAGAGTCACCTTATAAGACTAAAAGGTTATTCAGTCATTTGGCTAAATATCTTTAACGAACACTATTTACTTTAATCAAGGTTTAATCAAGCTTTTCACTCGAAACTACAATTAATCAGCTCAATCAAGCTTGATATAAATCAGCGGGAACTCTATTCATGGCTATGGCCTGATTCTGGTTGGGAAAAGGCTTGTCAGGTCAATCTTGAAAAGCCATTTTGACTAGCCGAATTGTTTAAAAATTTCACACCATTGAAATAAAAGCTGGTATATAAAAGATGAAACAAATGAAGGCGATTTTCAGTGGTGATGGAGCTTTTTTGATGAGAACATAGTGACGGTACCTGGAATAAAGTTCGAAGTAAACGTTTTCTTTCTTTCTTTGTTTGCTTGTTTGTTTGTTTGCTTGTTTTTTTTGCTTGTTTGTTTGCTTGCTTGCTTGTTTGTTTGTTTATTTGTAAAGTTTGAAGTGCTTGAAAGTTGCCTGACCAAAACGACAGCGGTAGCAATGAATAAACATAGGCAACACAGTGAGCGGTGATTGCGTGAACTGGAAATGTGAATTGAATCGAGCAAAATCTTTCCCCCAACCATTCATGCAAAATTGTGGTGACACTTTTCGGCATAAACCATGAAATTGATAGGCAAGACCCCAACCAATCGGAATGCATCTGAAATAAACAAAATAAGACTGAATTTTGAAGAGTTTTCGATAGAAATTCTGAATCTACAATCAAAATCTTGCATTGTAAAATATTCAGGCTAAAAATGAACTAAATCAGTGATCCACCTTGTCATCGCCAATCCAGCTGTCATTCCAAGAACGAACTCGGAAAGGGTGACACTAAAAAAAATGATGAAATATAATAAGAATCCATTTGAAAATGATTGAATGAAGCCTATCTTCTGTACTTTACCTGCCCAAAATGATCGAATAGGATCGAAATGATCGAGCGGTTCGAAAAATAATCAAATACAATAATAATCCATTAAAAATTATTGAAATGATGTCAAAGATTTGATGCAATGAAACGAAGAGATTCGCTCGGAATTGAGTGAAGGGGAAATCCATGCTGAATTATCTAAACAAGTCGTTTTAATAGCATGTGATCGAAAGAATAAGATCGAAATTTGATCAAATCTCAAATCGAATTTAATCACAAAGCTCTCAGCAACAAAAAAAACGTAAAAAACGAAAGTAAATCTCACTAATTTTATTGGGGTAATGGGAAATAAGCATATTAAAGTTGGCAAAAGGTTTCAAGGCAAAGATCTATTCAAGACTCAGATACTTTGCTGCCTATTGCATGTACTCATTGTCACAATCAGTGTTACATATTGTCACAATGAGGCAGATAAATTTTCCTGGCAATTTCTCGATAGCTTTCCCCTGCTTGATTCATCACTTTGATCCCCTTTTCTTTATCGGAAAGTTGCTTCCTTTTGCTCATCACTAATTTGAGGCTTCTCGAATGATTCCCGTTGTCGTTGTTCCCGCTTTGTAGTGCTCGGCTTTGGTCTCGTATGTTTCATTCTTCCATAATCGATTGGATCATTGGGATAGGTAATGATCAATTGGTGTGAACGACCGATTTTCTTAGCAATTTCTCGATAGTCCAGCTTGATTCATCGCTTCGATCGTCTCCTTTTCTTTATCGAAAAATTGCTTTCTTTTGCCATCAACTAAAATAAAAAGATTTTTTGTAAAAACAGCACAGAAAATGATGAAAAACATAGAAAAAAGTAAAGTTTCTCAATTGATCGTAAAATTCTGTCCAGTAGCGTATATGATGCGAATTAGCGACTGGAAAAGTTATAAGGTTATCTAATAATGAATGGCAGTAGTAAAGACAAGAATGTTAAGCAAAAGAAGGCCAGTAAAAGTTGATAAATCCAACTTCGATCAGCAGGTTCGATGCTGAATTGCTCGACAGCAAATTTTGTTAAGGACTTGAGAAATCCTAGACAAGGATTCTTTTTAAACGCTCACCAAAATTTCCAGATGTCTAACAAAAAAAAACGTGTTTTTTTTAGATTCATAGAACGAATTTCTTTCTAGATTCGAATTTCTTTCGGGATTTCGGGGGAAAACACGTGTGAATTTCAGGGTAATTTCCTAGTTTTCATAGAATTTTGTACCCAAAACGCTTAAAACGCTGTTTCCTAGTAAACTAAAAAAAAATTTCTCACACTCACTTATAAAAAAAAAAAGTGAATTGAGTAGAATGTTTCAAAATGTTCTCAACCTTTTGAACTTTGATGTAAATCCTAGTTTTCTAGAGCGCTTTTTCTAGAGCTTCGATTTTTAACCACACAAAAAAATTGGGTTTAGTAGAATCTTTTCAAATTCTAAACCGAAATTGCTAAAAATTTGGCGGTTTTTTGAAGATTGAAACCGTTTCTGACCAGGTTTGCAGCCATTTTTTTTCCAAAAATTGCGTTCAAACGGTATTTATTCTCCATTTCACCTGGCTATATGCTTTGAACTTTAGCAAATCTAGCACAATTTTTGATTACTTTTGAAAAATAAGGAGTATTTTGTGAATTCAGAAAGATGAGTAATTTGAGAATGTCAAGAATGGGAGATTTTCAATTCCTACTCTTTTTTTGGAGCCACAAAGAAAGCTTTAAAAGGGATATATTTGAAAAAGTGTGAATAAAGTCAATTTCAAGATTTCAAGGGGAAGTTCGACAATGATTTTCTTTGAAATGTTCTGAAAATTAAAAACTTATTGAAATGGGGACAGTTTTTTGAAAGGCTCAAGGGAATCAAGAATTCAAGATCGTTTGAAATATGTCAAAACAGCAAATATTTTGCAATTTTTTTGCCAAATGCACTTAAAAATTGATTTAACAATGGAAAATTTTGTTTATAAAGCTTCATCATCTCAAAATAGAATTGTGGCTTTCTTGGACGCCTCTTGTTCATTCATTGCACACCATTTGAGCATTTGAGACTTCAAAATTAGCAGTGATTTCAAGATTAGCAGTGAGCAGACTTTACTGTGGCATTGTAATGTATTATAGTCAAATTTATTGTGTGTTTTGGTTTTGTTAGACTGGCTAGCTACGGTTTTGCATAACGCTGAATATGTAAGCTAGCTACGGCTACTCCAATGAGTCACTTTGAGTTACAGATCAAGTTCCGGTCAACCATGTTAACTCCACCCCTTTGGAGTGAAAATGAAAAAAATCTCTTAGAATATCAAAACGCGATGCAATAGATCTTAAATTGGCCGAGTTGGCGTAGTTTGCCAGTAAAATACTTCTCCAAAATCTCCAGAGTAGGCTAATTTCCGCATTTTTTTTTTGCGCAACTGGGCCGTTTGCGCAACCCGCCATAACTTTCTTCTAAGTGGACCAATCTTTATGATTTTGGTTTCATTTTGTAGATCTCAATAAGTGCAACAAAATGAAACCAACATTATAAAGATTGGCTGACTCAGAAGAAAGTTATGGCGCAAATGACCCAGTTGCGCAAAAAGAAATTGCGGAAATTAGCCTACCCCAAATCTCCTCCTAAACGGCTAAGGTCTTTATCGTTAGAATGTGAAGCCCACGAACAAACCAAAAATATCAAATCTGTCATTTTTGAAGATCAACCTTTTTCAATTTTGAATAGAAATCTGCTGTTTTCTCTATTTTCACATCATTGAACTCAGAATTTATCCAAATATTTTATCATGAAAGGTTCACAGTATTAAAAAATGGAAAGAATAACAAAGCACAACTATTTGATTCCAAGAAAATCCCATTACTAATTGACGAAATTGAGTTTTCGGCGACATACGACATTAAAAATTGCATGTTAAAATGGTTGCTCATGATTTGTGAACACTTTCTCTGAAGAATTCCTTTGTTCTCTCTGATGACATTTGGGGCTAAATATTATGATTTGATCCTCGTTTTGCTCATCACACTCGGGTTATCAAGTTAGATGAAAATGGGGATTTTTGGGAAAATAACTTTAGGTCTCCTTGCTGTTATTCAAATTTTCAAATTGAAAAGCTTTACTTGGCCGAAGACTGGTTTCGATATCAGCTTTAAACTCAGCTCCCAGCTCACGGAAATCTTCGATCAAAACGCTGAATATGTAAGCTACAACTTTTTCTAAAGCCGAACATTTGTTTTAGGCTTTCTTCTTGGGATTTCCTTTTGCTGGATTGGCTGCTTTCTATGCTGCGACGAATAATCGATTGACGATACCGGTTCGGTTGGGTTTTTGACTTGTTTGCACACAAAATCTTGGACAATATAACTTTTGGAAACGAAATTTTCTAAGAATTGAGTGAATCTGAATAAAGTATTGGGTCGGTGAATTGAAAACTGCCGGCTATTGTCATATGTGACAGTTTTAGCACTTTCTTCAAAAGAAATCCATTTTGGTGTCAATGGAAAAGTTGTAGAGAATCAAAAATGAAACTTATATCCAAATTTTTAGAACGATTCAAAAACTGGTTTTCAAGAAATGCGAAATTTACGAATTTTCACACAACTTGCATTTTAAGCGAAACTACTAAGTGTATCTTTTTGGAAATTTGGCTATAAGCCTAATTTTTGATTCTCTACAACTTTTCTATTGACACCAACATGGGTTTCTTTTGAAGAAAGTGCTCAAACTGGGACATCTCCAGTCCTCCATTTTTGAGTCTCACACTTGTTTCATACACAAACCAAAATCCTACTACAAAAGAGGAATCCGCAAATTGCCTGTAAAATGGGCAGAAGTCGTCAATAATAATGGAAACTATTTCGAATGAATTCATGGTTTTATGTTGAATAAATTTTAGTTCAAAGTCCGGCAGTTTTCAATTCACCAACCCAATAGCAGGTAAAAAATCTAAGTGCAAATTCTAGATTTGTCAGAGAGCAAAGTTGCAATGCAACCAATGAACTTTTAATCTTTCAATGTTCAGATTATTGTCGACTGCTGAAAACGCGAACAAATTCGTGCAAACACTCGGCTATTTCCCAACTTTCATCTGTGAATTGAGTCTGGTGTTCACGTGAGTGAAAAAATATTGTTTTTAGCTCTTGTAATTTAAAAGGGGCTTTTGAGAGGTCCATAACTTTGTTTAAAGATAATATTATTGTTAGTTTTTTATATCGTTTTAGAGAGGAAACTTCAGGCTTTCAAATAATATAAAATATTGTTTGATTGAATGATCAAATTCAATAAAAACCAAGAGACAAGGAGCCAATCTCTTTAGGCTAACTATAAGACTGACTTGTAAGTTTTCCTTTTCGCTCTTGTAACTTAAAAGCGGCTTTTGAATGAGGAGTTTAGCTTTGATGCTCACAGGACTGGATAATTCAATCAAGCTCTATTTTACGTCATTCTAAAGCCTGAGGTGTCCTCGTTACAATGGCATAAATATTTATGAATAATATTATTGCTAAACAAAGTTATAGACCTTTAAATCATGACTACTCTCTCAAAAATCATCTTTAATTTACAAGAGTCGAGCTTTCAAATGAAGCATTGAGATTAATGGGTTAATGTGGTTAATAAAATGTGTTCATGCAGGTTACTGGGTTCATTTTTAAGCAGTTTTATAAAAATAGCCAATGCCTCTCCATTCAACTCAATACATCTAGATGCTCGAAGGATTTGACTTATATATTTGACAGAGTATCATTTTATGTCGATTACTATGATCTTTTCAGTATTTCGCAATATTGTCAATTGTGTATATCAATCAGGTAAATGCAATTTGCCGGATTTTGGCTAATTTTCAGCATTGGTGTTAGAGATTTCTCTTTTAGTCGTTTCATGGCTCTTTCCTTTGACGGTTTCTATTTTCGATATACCTTGAAATGGCCACTTATTCAATTAGGATTCCCATACTTATTAGCTATTGCTATCAAATATTTGATCCCATTCCTTACCCCAATTTTTCACTATAATCCGATCGGTGAAATAGCGGCTTTCATCAACTTTTTGATGTGTGCACTTGACTGTATGACTTATCGAAACTTGAAAAAGGTTTGAAGCTATGCCTGTTAACTGAAAAGATACTAATAAAGACTGTAAGTTTTATTTAGCGAAAGAAGAATGGGAAAACGACACGCACCGAAGTTCTGCTGATGATTCAGGTGAAACTTGACTGCAATGATGTAACTGTTTCTTGTGATTAATGACTACCGTATTCTCTCTAATAGTAGTGCGCACTACTATTTTTTCAACCCCCCTCCTGGACCGCAATACTATTAGAGAGTGCACTACTACACTCTGTCAAAAAAATTATAGACGCCCCCGTTTTTTGCTAGTTTAGAGCCGCAAATAAGTGCTAGTCCAGTGCAAAGTATTTTTTTAGTTTCTTTAATGTAAGAAAACAACCCATGCAAAATTTCAAGTCATTTCACTCATCCAAAGTACTTTATCGTACAAAAAACGTTTCATCAGCTGTCAAAAAATTATAGACGCACTTTTATTTGACGATTTATTCTATCAATAATTGTTAGTTTTTTCTCATTTTTTTTGCTTATTAGTTATGTTTATAAATGTTTTTACATTTTCAGATATGCCACTTGGAAAACAACTGGATGTGGTGGAAAAAACGCGTATCGATGTGCTCCACACGCTTGGTCACTCAAACAGGGACATTGCTCATCGCATCGGACGTTCTGAGAAGTGTATTCGCACGTATCTCAAGACCAAAGTGACTCCTAAGAAGAAAGAAACACGGGGCCGGAAGAAAAGGTTGACCGATCAAGACGAACGCGCAATTACGAGACGTCTTTCCAACACGACGACATCACTCGAAGAGGTTCGCAAGAAGATGAAGCTTCCGGTCACTCGCCAAACTGTGCACAACGTTGTCAAACGATCTACAATACTCAAATACAAACTCATGAAGCAAGCTCCACGACTTACAAAGGACCATAAAGCCGCCCGTATCGATTTCGCTCAAAAGAACCAGAAGACCAAATGGGAAGGAGTTGGTTTACTAGTATTTCTTATATATTTTATGTTTAGATCATTTGGAGTGACGAAAAGAAGTTCAACCTTGATGGTGCTGATGGTTTTCGAGGATATTGGAAGGATTCACGAAAGCCGGGCATGGTCTTCAGCACGAGGAACTTTGGAGGTGGATCATGTATGGTATGGGGAGCCTTTCGAGACGGCGGACTGGTCGGCTTAGAGTTTATTTCGACCCGGATGACATCGCGTGACTATCAACAAGTGTTGGACAAACATCTAGCCGTCTATCTGAACAACAATCCGGGCAATAACTTTACTTTTAGGCACGATAATGCGAGTATTCATGCAAGTCGCTCCACAAGAGATTGGCTGACAGCGCACAAAATCGGCACTGTCGCTTGGCCCGCTTGCAGCCCAGACTTGAACCCGATTGAGAATGTGTGGGGGACACCCGTTCGAGATTTCTACAAGGGAAACAAGCAATATTCGAGCGTGAATGAACTCAAGAAAGCCATTCAAGTAGCCTGGAATCGGCTTCAGCCAACAGCGCTCCATGACCTTGTCTCTTCGATGCCGAGACGTCTTTTTGAAGTTGGACTCAAGCAAGGAGGGGCCACACATTATTAATTTATTTGGTTTGCGTTGTTATTTTTATTTCTGTTAACTTTTTCTTGATAAAATGAAAGTGCGTCTATAATTTTTTGACAGCTGATGAAACGTTTTTTGTACGATAAAGTACTTTGAATGAGTGAAATGACTTGAAATTTTGCATGGGTTGTTTTTTACATTAAAGAAACTAAAAAAATACTTTGCACTGGACTAGCACTTATATTCGGCTCTAAACTAGCAAAAAACAGGATGCGTCTATAATTTTTTGACAGAGTGTATTAGAGAGAATACGGTAAATAACTTATAACTTGCCTCATTTGTCATAGCTTGCTTAAAAGTCAAGGAAAACACAATTGGAAATGAATGTACTATGAATGAATGTACTAAAAGTAGAACGTACAATGAATGAATGTACTAAAAGTACAATAATGTACTTTTAGATGATTTCAATGTCGTTGATCGCTTTCATCAACTCGCTTCTTTTTCCTTTTCTCAATTTGATGATTAATATTTTTTTTGGATTTAATTTGGCTTACACGACGATTTTCGTACTTAACTTTTTTATAAATCTTCTTTTTTATCCGTTTGCAAGGTAAGTGAATCAGTTAATCAATAAAAACAAATCTCAGCATTGTCTCGATTTTGTTTCTTCGCAAAAGAAAAGAGAGAAATGTGAATGGGACAAGTGTCACTCAGTCAAGTTTGGTGGATAGCCGATGGACACGGAATAAATGATGAGAAGATTTGAGTACAAAGTCATTATCTTGCACTTGTCTTGAATAAAATCCTCTACAAAATGCACTACGTATGATTTGCGATCAAACCGAGCCTATTCTCCCACTAGAAACGTCCGTTTTGTTTTTAAATTGTACCATGTTGTAGGAGATTTTATCCTCTTTCTGCTGATAATTAAAAATTAGCTTTCTAAATATCTGCTTAAAGCAATTCCCACGTTAACCGAAAAACTTCCAATGCCAGAAGTTTTTTTCGGCACCGGGAATGGCTTTAAATCTACAGATTAGTTAAAGTAAATCTTTTAGTAAATCTACTGTAAATCTTTTAGTTTTTAAGAAACCATTTTATTATTAGCAGAAAGAGGACAAAATTTCCCACAAGATGGTACAATTTGTAAGCAAAACAGACGTTTCTAGCGGGAGAAAAGCGTCCAAGTTTGCGTTTCTTGAGTTTTCCCGTGGGAAGTTTCCGGTAACGGAGCATGCGGCCTCTGATCAGACCAGTCACCAGAATCGAATCTAGGTCTACCTTTTGAAGAACTCAAGAAGAACTTTCTGTGGACTGAGACTGAAGACTAAAGCTAGCTCCAGTCTTTCTGGCATAGGCTTACTTCTGTAGCTAGCCTACTTACTTCTGTAGCTAGCCCAATTATTCAGCAATATTATTAAAAACGCTTAATCATTCGACCACTTGACTTCTGTAAACTTTAATTTTTAACCGTTGAAGCATAGTTTTTTATAAAAAGCATATAATTGAAGCTTGTTGTGATTTCTATTGAAACCAAAATTACAGGTAGTATGCCAAAAAAAAGGTGTAATTATGAAAAGGTTCGGCGAATAAACAGCTTATCGGTTGAAATCTTTGCTCTCACTAGCTTTTTTTTTGGTTTAAAAGGAAGCAAATCTTATTGGTATTTTAAAAAACGAGTCTATCTTTTTTGTCAAGTCAAATGTCCTTTATCGATTCGACTAAACACGGAAGATTTTATGAAATGATTTCCGTTGTATTCTTGACAACATTCTTGATGGGTGAGAAGTTTTAATTGGCTTTAAAATGTTGAAAAATTGCTTTTTGCGCATGCTAACTCCAGCCACGTTAGCCTAAAGCTCTCTAAAAGTCTTTTTTTTTCAGGAATCTATGCTTTTCTACTATTCATCTATAGCCAGTACTGGTCAATATCAGAAATCAAGCCGGATATCGACCCTTCAATCTCAGGACAACTCACTCCAATCATTGAAAGGACTGAGGCTGTGGTGAGTGTTGGATTTGATTTGATTTGTTTGATTGATTTGATTTGTTTGATTGATTGATTTCTCGACAGACGAAACAGTTCATGGGTACTGTCATCAATCTGTGCTTTAGTTTACAGGGGTACTGTAGCCATTCCGGAATACAGTCTGTCAACCGCAGTCTGTCAGTATTTGTCCACAGCTTTCGTTTTCAATGGTTACCCAAATGTGATTGGTCTATTCGTTTTTAATTTAGAAAGCTACTGTAACCTTTCTTTCACGTTTCTAGCGCGAGAAAAGCGTCCAAGATTGCGTTTCTGGAGTTTTCCCGTAGGAAGTTTCCGGTAACGGAGCATGCGGCCTCTGATCAGACCAGTCACCAGAACCGAATCTAGGTCTACCTTCCAAATCTAGGTCTAGCCTTCCAAATTGCTCACGCATTAGAAGGTTTTCCCAATAACTGTTAGATCCCAACAATAGCCCTTTGACTACAGTAGCTTAGCTTTCTAAAAGCTTGGTGTGCAGTTCATGGAAGCTCATTGAATTTGCAGTTTTATGCCACATCAAATGAACTCAAATAAACGTCTATTTACAAGCTTTTTCCTTGATTTTAAAGGATTTTGAGATCTTTGAATTATTCACCATCTAGATATAAGGGCATAATCATAGACAGCTCTAATTTCAGGTACTAGTTTTGAGTGTTTTCATCAGTTTTTTCGCTATTTGGAACGTTCTATGGAACGATCGGTTGACTCTTCCATTACGGTGGATTTTTCATTTCGATCTCAAGTAACATCTCAAGTGTCTCAAGTATCTCAAGTTTTGACCTCAAGTAACAAAAGCCAATTCAGTTTGTTGGCAGCTAATGAAAACGTCGATAAAATGATATTTGCTATCATTTACACCTATTATTGCGTGTGCAAATACCTAGCAAATGATCAGTGAGTGGATTCAGAGAAAATCGAATGGAAGAGATGTTTTAGGTGTCCACAAGCAGTTTTCGATTTGATCACCACAATCAACTCGTACTTTGACTATCATATTCTTAACGATATTGCTCAATACAATCAGCTGATGATCTCAATCAGGTTTGGAAGTGAAATTATCCTATCCAAAGATTGGATTCATATTCTAAAAGGTGGACAGTTTGGAAAGTTACGGTAACCTTCAGATTTTACTTAATTATGAGCTGATTCGATGAGGAATCAATTGAATGAAACCAAGCTTTTAGAAAGCTAATCAACCATAGTCAAAGGACTATTGTTGGAAAAAAAATAGTGACTGGGAAAAACTTCTAAAGAGTGAGCAATTTGGAAAGCTACGAAGAAGGGTTACGATAGCTTTCCAAATCAAAAACAAAAAGACCAATTGTGACGAATTGCCACTGCTCTGCAGTTAGTCAAAATTCAATGCACAAGTTAAAATTCAAAGTCGATGGATAAACTACCGTAATCAGCCACTAGACGATATTCAGTTGTCCGTTTGTCGTAGCTTGTGTACTTAAAAATCCATAATTTAAGCTTTGTCTTGAGTCAGTTGAGGGCTCCTTTTTCTATTCATCCTTTTTTTCACACACAAGTGTTGAAGTAATTGTGATAGTGCCAGGTTGCTCCAGTTTGAGCGAAGTTTGCCCCAATAAGGGAAAGTTTTGATAAATTGTGCGTTTTCAAGACATCTACCATTAAACCACACCGATACACGGTCTCACAAGAAATTATAAAGATCAAAGTATGTATTTCTTACACCAATCACATTTCAGCCGTTTCCTAGCCGTTTCCTTTGATGGTGCTTATTTCCCTTACACTTTACGCTTTCCATTCATTCAACCACTTCTCCCATATATCCTTCGAATCGGTCTCAGCTTTTTGAAGAACCTCTTCCCATTTGATTTCACCTATTATTACATCTTTGATCTCTATATTCTTCAATTTCCCTACTTTTTCATGTGCGCTCTCGATTTCGTTACGAATCGAAAAATGAAAAGCGTAAGAAATTTGCATCACCGTAAAAAACAAATTCATTTAGCTGAAGAAGAGGGGGAAAACGTCAAGAGCTGAACGATTGTTGATGATACAGGTGGGAATAGTTTCCCAGTGAGATAAAAGTATTCATACGCAAATGATTGACTGACTTCAGTTCAGCCGACAAGTCACAGTGTCTAATTGTAAGTACAATGGCTGTTTAGACATTACAATAGCAGTAATGTTGTAAGTTTGGTATTGCTGATTAAGGCTTATAAAAACTAAATCCTTGACTCTTGAACAGCTCAAGTTTTATCAAAGATTTGTGAGATTTAAAAGCATTAACAGCGTTAAGCTCTTGCAAATCTCCTTCGAGAAATCAAGAAAATGAAAGCTGAGTTTTGTCAGATTTCTTTATTCTGAGTTGTCAGTTTTACATAATTAGAATTTTCAGATGATGGCCAACTCCTTCCTAACTCTCATCAATACTCTATTCATGTATTCGATAATGTCAATCGTCAATTTCTTCTTTGATATCAGTCTTGCATTTCTTGTGATGAGATCGCTCGACTTTATTCGATTTTTCTTTTTCAATTTCATCATGAGGTGAGTTTAAATGTTTTTGAATGTTTAAAGAAGCTTTAGTTTGATCAGTGTTTTCTGTTTCCGAAAACCAAGGGATCAAAAAGTTCAACAAAGAACTAATGACGGAACGGCTTTCACAGTGAGTAGAAGAACGACAAGAAATCGTTAGATTTTATGGTTTTTTTGCTTTTAAAATAAAATTCTATCAAAACTTTGGATTACGGTAAATGGAATGTATTTCAGGAAGTTTGCTTTATTTTAACTCTTTTTCAAGCAGGTTCAACGCTAAATTTCATAGTGAAGATGTGATCAGTGAAAAGGAGCAATTTCCCCTGTGGTTGCCCGGTTCTGAATTCCGTTGACTGGGATTTTACTGAAAGGTTTTAACATCGAAAAAACTAGAGGATACAAGGTGAGTCTTGCTCGACATCGAAATTTGGATATATTAAGTTTAAAATTTGAATTTGTCACACAGGATTTGAATTTTAATTGAATTGAAATGCCGTAGTAGGGAGCAGGGTTGTTCAACTGGCGATTTAGCCGAGTCCAGGCCTGCCTTCTGGTGGGTTCAGCAAAGCCCGGTTAGGCCAGACACGATCGGAAGCTAGACCAAGACCAGGTTTCTGGTCTGGTCCAGGAAAAATTGCTTTTGGAATAACCCTGACGGACGATTGCCAAGCTAACCAAGTCCAGGGAAGTTTTACAACTATCATACAAGTTTACAAGTTTGGGTAACCCAACAGTACCATCTCAAAACTTTGCTGGATTACGGTAAATGGAATGTATTTCAGGACATTTGCTTTATTTTAGCTCTTTTTTCAAGCAGGTTCAACACTGAATTTCATAGTGAAGATGTGATCAGTGAAAAGGATCAATTTCCCGTGTGGTTGCCCGGTTGTGAATTCCGTTGACTGGGGTTTTACTGAAACGTTTTAACATCAGAGTTTTAACATCGAAAAAAGCACAACCTTCACAAACTTTGATCCCGTCTTGTTGAGCCAAATCCTCATAGGTTTGCGCCTCTTTCATCACCAAGTGAGTCACGCACTGAAATGGATATTGAGGCAGGGGATTTTTTGACTTGTTATTACCAGGGCTGATCCTAGCATGGCCTAGCGCTGTTCACATACACAGTAATACGAAATAATAGTACAAATTTAACAGATTTAACAGATTTGAACCGAAACCAAACCAGACCAGCGAAGCAAAGCAAGCCAAGTCTGGAGCAAAGCAAGCCAAGTCCTAAACCTGTTAGGCTAACAATAAGTTTAACGTTAAGTTGACTTAAGACAAACTTATGATAGACTTAAGACACTTTAGAGTGAATCAGCTCAGGCTTGGCCTTTGGCTGATGAATTTTGACCCAAGCTAGATCACAGAAAAATCATGTCTAACCTTAGCATCGGGTGGATCGAAAGCCGTAATAGTTATCTTGACTTTTCCATCAAAAATGATGAAACACTCCTTGATCACATCACCGGTCACTTTGTTCTTGTTTTCGACGGAAAACGAGAACTTTTGCACGACGACCGAGTTCTCGATGGTGTAGCCACAAGCTGGAAGAGGGTTTTGAGATCGAAAATGGTTTGGGCTATCAGATATTAGCCTCAAAATTACAAATTGAATCTTAAAAAGCCACAAAACTTGATTAGAGTTAAAATTTTGAATGTTATAATGAAAATTGAAGGCTTAAAATCTTACCAAGCTCATGTTCGTCTCCAAGAAAATGCCAGGGATCGTGAAAAATCTGAACAAAAAAAAAGTGGTTTTTATTTTCAAAATGGACAAATTCACTTACCGCTTCATTTCCGTGAATAAAAATTACTAAAATGATGAAGAGAAGTGAAAACATTTTGCCAACAATTACAAATTGATTGACGAAATTTTTGGTTCATAGATTTGTAGTCAGAAAAAAGCATGAAGAGAATGCAATTTTCTTCATTTTCTGTCTATTTTTGGAAAAGTTGAAACAGTTTTATCATTCAAAATCGGATTAGCGATATTTTTAGAAGAAATTAACATCAAATCGATGGTCTTTTGCATGCTCATTTTGGTAGATTGTGATTTCAGAATCTCCATATTTCATTTAGTATAATATTGGTACCGTATCTTTCTCTTTCAACAATAAGCTAGCATAATGCCGTCAAAAACTGGCTATAATTTCATCAGAGACACCTATTCTTGAGCTCTTGGCAACAATAAAAGTTTGCCCTGTACACACGGCTGACACACGCGTGCTTTAATCTCATCTCAGAAAACGAATTGTGAAAGAGCGTTGGTGTTCTTTTCTTATCAGTAAAAGACCAGGCTAGACATCATTCCCTGATAGATTGATATAATTAAATATTTATCTTTGTTAAATAAGCAAAACACAGTAAAAAAACGCATTTATAAAGCACAAACAAACTTTTAATGCTTGGGGTATACGGTATATTATCCACGATTTAGAATCCAGTGACCGCCTAGAAGATTGTTAGATTTTACCCCTCCTTTAACGTTAACGAGCATAGGGTAGTGTTGGCGGAAGATATTTCAACTCCGAAAATTTACAGGCAACGACGCTGCTGCGCTAAAGAAAGTGAAGAGCATGATCAATAATGCGGCAAAGAAACTCAACGACGGTTTCCCTCGTTTTCCTCCTTGCAAGTCACAAAATTCGCTTTTCTTCAATTCTTGTGTGACCAAGTTACCTTCTTGGGCGCTCAAAGTGAGGTAAGAAAAAACTATTCTGTCTAAAATATCCAATAAATATCGTTTTTAGTTCATTCGTCACTTCGTTCCTCAAGCAACTCATTAGTGATCTCGGAAAAGTTTCTGTCAACCAACAATTTTCTTGTAACCTTTTCACCCAATTTTTCCGTTATCTCAAGAATTTACAGTGTTAATTCGCAACAATTTGAACAAATTCGCGAGTGATTTGACGGTGATTCCGAAAGAAGCGGGTGATTTTTGATACTTGTACAGGCTGAAATGTTTCAAAAGTTTGATATTTTCTTTTAAAAACGATTTCAGCAAAATGTTTTAAATAAACACCGTCCACTGCACCATTCCAGAGCTCATCAATTTGTATTTGTTTCATTAGTTTCCTTGAGTAATTCATTTTGTCAGAGTTTTTTACACTTAGAATAAAATGTGCAAGCCTTTTCTGAACAAAGTACTTCAAAAAAGGGTAACAGTAATTTCAAAACTTTCACTTCACCAATGTCAGTACAACGTACTCAGCGGCAAGAATTGTTGTTTAAATGATTAGCATCGGGTTTAAGCCAGAGCTGAGTGCTTGGTTGACTCTTGAGGTTTTTTAGAAAGAGGTTCACATAAAAAAGCGACAAAAACAACAAAAAACAACTGGTAAGCAACACCTCGAAAGCAATAAATCTAAATGGAGCCAAACAGAGAAAGAGAACACATGACTCTCAAAAGTCTTACCTCTCAAGATCTAGAAGTAGATCTAGTATCTTTTGTCTTTTGTCAAAAACTTTGGTTTTAAAGGAATCTTTTAGGAATGATTGAGAAGAAATACTAGAAATAAAATGAAATGGGGCTTACTTTTGATTTTTATTCACTTTCATGCACTATTCGGACTTGATATTAAACCGGGTGATGGGACTGTGACGAGCAGGGACAATAATTGGAATTCGAGGTAAGTGAACGAAGATTATTTAGCAAAATAGTTAGCAATAAAGATTTCAGAATAATAATTTATTCATTTTGGATAACTGTTTCTTTTTTAAAGCTGAGTGCTGAGTTTTTGAGGCAACTCTGGTACCAGACTCGTAGCAGTATATCTAGATTTTTGAGTCAATTTGAAAACAATAAGTAAGCCATCAATTTTCAGCTATATCCAGAAGAAAGTTGGAGAAAGTGGGCTTCTACGATGCTCCAAAAATTTACCGTGCGTTTAATTAGACTTTAAAGCTTTGGTTCAACAAGGTTTTTACTCGAATTTCAACAACCTAAACAGAAAAAATACCGAAAAAGAAAATTCGGTTTGAAAAGGGATCTCAAAAAGAGACCTCTATTCAAACCGAATTTTAGAAAAACTTTAACTGGTGCCTATTAACTTTTAGACTTTTAACTTCTAACTTTAACCTTTAGAAAAACTTTTGGTGGCACTTCTGGTGCCAAAACTCGTTTTTCTTTAAGGCATTTTTTTCACTTTTTTGATAGTTCTTTGTTTTCTTGACCACTATTTAGGATGTTCAAGAAAAAGCGTTAGTTCGCGTTGAATTTCTTCACGATCTTTATTGGCTTATGGTGGCAACTCTGATGCCAAAAGTGTTCTTCGGTCTGAAAAAGTTCTGACCTTTTTCGAAATTTTTTCATTTTCACGACCATGATCACCACCACTATATGGGCCATCATCATGAGACTTTTGTCATACAATTAAAACTTTATACTGGTATCATGGTGTCATATTAGAGTTAATATATAAACTAAGATTTTGAGCCAAACACTCTATTTTATTCAGACAGAAAAAAACAGTTTTGCCACCAGGAGTCCCACCAATAGCCACTTAAAGTTTTTCTAAAATTCGGTTTGAAAAAGGGCATTTTTTGAGACACCTTGTACTGTCTCAATTTCAAAACTAGCCATTTCTTAACCTGTCTTGATAGAATTTCCAACTTTTATTGAATTTTCTGAGCGATGAATGAGATTTAGATGGATCATGACCACCAAAACTACCAATGCGAATCTCGAGGGTTTTGATTTCTCAGACTTACAAAATAGAACCGAATTTAAAGTTAGAGATGAGCCTCTAATTGAATAGTCCACAACTTCTAGGGGCCATTAATGTACATTTATGATCTGAAAGCTTCCGATACTGGAATGTATGGTTGTGGGGAAGAAATTCTTGAGGAAAGCATTTACATTTATGTCAAAGGTAAAGTTTCAAATATTCCAAAGCTTAGTCAAACTCAGGTCCTCAACTTTTTCTAAAGAGCAAAGATGTAGTGACATTTCTTCAACTTGGAGCCCATGATCATGATCTGATTATTCCATTTCGAACCACCACACACACGCATAGACGTTGAAAAAACAAGAAAAACAAAATCAAACTTTAATTTTAGGGGAACGAGTAAAGCTATTTGTCGACAATGAGGAATGGAGGGCATTGTGTTGGGATGAGAATACGTTTCTTTGATAAAAGATTACAATCAAAACAAACCGAAAAATGTAGTACTACTAGGGATTTAAACAAACAGCATTTACGCTGACAATGGAAGCTCACGAAATCAAGGTGGCTAATCGAAATGAGACATAGACCATTCGATGCAGGATTTTATGCTGATTCCGAAACTTCTGTCCGTTTTCGGTCGTATATAATAGGTTGGAATCACGAAGAGAACGGGACCAAGGGAACACGATAAAATAGCTGTTCAGAAAAAGAAAAACTTAAAGGGAGTCGAACCCTTGACCTACAGCTTTGCATACGTACACGCTATTCGCTACACAACGCAACCATTTCTTTCACAACCAAGCGTTATAGGAGAGGCCAAAAACCTGTTTGCCCTGTTTGCCAAATTCCTTGTGGTTCGGACCTGTTTAGCAAAAAAAGGACAGCAGATTCGGAATCAGTGTCAAATTCTGCTTCGGATGGTCTAGGTCTAATTTCGATTAGTCACCTTGATTTTATATCATTCCCTTGTGAGTTGGCACCAGTTGAAAACTTGCTCAAAGGCTCAAAGGCTGTTGAGCTGTTGATTCTGTTGATTTACAAGTAACACTGCTTTGATATTTGCCTTGTACAGGTTTAACTTTTTAGTAATTATTTCTATTTCTAAAAAAGTATTTCTAAAAAATTTTTAAGAAATGTAAGCGAAAAAGTGATCATCGCCGGAGTTGACAAATTGCTTACATCGAAGGGTGAGGCGCTAAGATGCACTTCGATGTCGGAATTCTTCGATCCTCGGTCTTTTCCCATAAATTTAAACAAAAATGATTTCAGTCGCGGCTTTGACATTTCCTTGTTTTCTTCCCGACTCGATTGGAGTAAATTTAACAATAAACGCTTTCGGTGTGAATATGGAAACGAGGTTGCGGAGGTTTTCGTTCAGGTGGGAGAATCTGATAGCAGTTTTCAGAAAATCCATTGCAGGCAATTCAAAGCATCGACATCAACCTCACCAAAATCGGTATTCTTTTGAAGATTTTAAAGAATATTTTTCAACTTACAGATAGTCCTTTCAAAGTGACTTGCTCGTGGGAAAGCCAGCCGAGTCTAGATTTCGATGTTGAAAGATCTGGGTTATGGCTGAGTTGTCCCAAGTGTGAGGCAAAAAAGAATGGGGTACGGATTCTAATGTCAACTTTACCAATGTGAAATAGCATGTTGTTAATCGAATAATTGAATGGCTACAAGATGCAAGAGCCAAGCGAGAGATGGCCAAATTTTGGGACCCTTCAAAGGGCGATGTATCCCAATTCTGCCATTGGTACTGGTCAAATTTTAATAGAAATATTTTAAAAAGAGATAAATTTAATTTAGCTTTAATTCTTTAATTCATAAAGAGAGATTTTAGGATTCAGCAGTTAGGAGAAGAAAGAAATTCGAGCGCTCAAATGCCGTTCTTCCGTGAAATACTGTATACAACAAAGATCACAAACCAGGTAGCTGAAAGAGAATTCCACTCAAAATTTAGGGATAACTCTAGTTTGCCGCAGCTTCAACAATCGTGGTAATCGTTATTATGTCGCTCTTGCTTTTCCTCGGCATCGGTTTTGCCGTTTCTTGTCGGAAAATGAGGAGAGCCCCAAACAACGCTGAAACGGTAGAACTTTCCCAAGCGGTAAGCTCTTTCCCTCAACGCCACATCGGGCACGGGACTTTTGGAGACGTTTTTGAACTGATTGGATATGATCCGTAAGTTTCAAGTTAATGATAATTAATCAAAATCCCATTGAAAATCCGTTTCAGACCAGCTGTGATAAAGAATCTTCGCTTAATCTCACCCCACCATCAAATCACGCTTCAAAATGAGTTCGAGATGTTAAAGAATCTGACGCATGCTAATGTCGTGCAGCAGTTAAAAATGAAAACTATGGAAGGGTCGAATGATTTTGGGCTCATCATGGAGTATTGCCAACGTGGAAACTTGCGCAATCGTGAGTTCATCAGTAGCATGAGAGCTTGCAAAAAAACCAAAAACTAGCCGTAAAACCAATGGCTTTTAACATTGCCATCGGATTTGCACTAAAATCTTGGCTTGGACTAGAAATTTGGTTTCTTGTCAACGCCGGATGGCATGCTTACAAAATTTCTTAGTTTTGACAAATTCGGAAGTGATTTATACAATGAAAACAGTGCTAACTTGGGCAACACAATTGTTCGATGCTTTGGATTATTTTTTCAAAGAGCACATCATACATCGGGATATCAAACCGGAGAAGTGAGCATGAATGGGCTTTATTAGAAAATTGTTTCAGCATCTTTGTGACATCAAGTTTCGTTTTGAAGTTTGGTGATTTTGGATTGGCAAAACATATTGAGCAGACGTGTACGGGCTCCGCAAAGGGCACAGAACGATATATGAGTCCCCCGAAATATGGAAGGAGTCACGAATTGCAAGTGAGTTCAAAATTTATGGCATTAAGATGCATCCGTGGTGTTCGATTGGTCCAGTAAGATCCGCTTGATTAGTAAGGCCCGCTTGTCCTCAGGTGAGCTCCTCTTCACCAAGGCAGACCCCCAAGATAGAATGGCCCCGGTACCTGATTGATTCAATCGAGCGCCGGGGTTATGGCCCTTTGCGGCTCTTACTCAACCGTAGGGCTTCCGTGGGGTTTCACTTTGGTGGAGTTTCTTGGTAGTTGGTTGGGTGTGAAAGAAATGAATATGGATAGGCAAGAATTAATTTTTTCTCAAGGAATACGGTAGATTAAAATCTCCAAAAAAATCACCACATAAAACAATCAAAAACCAACACACGAATGAAAAGAATAAAGGAACAATAGTATTAGGAGAAACTGGAGATTTAGAGAAAAACTGTAAGCTATCTTTCCTTGCCTTGCCATGGGCTGGTGCCCCAAGAAAGGCAAGAAAAGAATTCTATTCAAATAGGCAGCATCGGCAGCAAGAGGGCGGTAAAAGCCTCTTAGCAATTCTTTTGCCAATTAGTAGACGGTCTGAAATTTCTGAGGCAGCTAATACAATAGGATAAAAATTCTAATGAAAGGAATTCTTTTTTATGGGAAATTGAAATGAAAGAAAAGAAAGGAATTACAGTTTTGGTGGAAGAACACATTTGAAAATGTGAAAGAGCAACATTTAAATTTTTAAATGGGAAAAATTTAAAAGATGAGAAAGAAAAATGTTTTTCTTTTTTGTGCGTATTGAGGTGATGGGAATGAAAACAGCGCTCACATATCTTTCTAAAAATAAAAAGATTGCAAGCCTGAGCCAATAACTGTTGTATACTATTAAAAAGCTCTGAATCTTCTCTACAAAATAGTGGAAAAGATTTTGAATTTGATTGATTATTGGGGACTTGAGTGTTAAAAAGTAAACGCAGGTCGAGTCTCAACCTGGATACCTGCACCTGCTGGCAACTTAAAAGTCACTGATTGCTTTTTAACACTCAAGTGCCCAATAATCAATAAAAATGCCCAATAATGTTTTTCTTTTTTGTGCGTTCAGCACATGTGGTTTGACTGGAGTCAATCTCTATGCTAGGCTATTCATTTTATCTTTACAAATCAATTAAAACAAGGAAAACATTACAAGGAAGCAAGTACCAATTTTCAGAGATGTCAGGACTCTCTAGAGTTTAGTTTAGCTGCTCCAGTGACTTTGAAATTTTTCAGGCAGGATTGGCCGTTCATTTGACCATTCAGTGATGTTCCAGCTGGACTCGGAGTCTGTAAGCCAAATTAGGCCAAGCCAGTTCAAGGCAAAGCGACGGCTATAGTCAGGGTGGAAAAAGAAAGTAAAAAGTTTGACTGGAATTTCTTAAAAATGAATCCACCAATTCAAGAACATTTTGCTCTATTATCTACAAGTCGACTCCATGAAATTATTCATAAAAAAATGAGTGCAGATTTTCCCTTAAAATTTTCGAGATTTTTGAAAAATGATTATTTTCCAGTTTTTTTTCGGCATTCGGCATTCGGCAAACTTTTTGCACCAGAAAAAAGATTTTTTTTATGAGATAAAGCTAGCAGAAATGAGCAATACGCTTTCTAATCTCTATTTTTTTTACAAGAAGCTGTATTTCAAAAAATCTTTACGATTACGAAAATGTATTCAAGCTAAAGGAAACTATTTTAAAGTATAATGTTATATTTTTTTTATATTCAATGATTGTTAAATGATTTTTAAGGTATCTATTAGGTTGGAAAGAAAGTTCTCGGAAAAAGTTTAACTGGAATTGACTTAAAAACGAATCCACGAATTCAAGAACATTTTTTTCTATTATTTACAAGTCAACTCCAAGAAATTACTCGTTACAAAAAAATTATGAGCGATTTCTTATGAGATAAAGCTAGCATAAATGAGCAATACGCTCTATAATCTCTATTTTTGGCCAACAAATTTTTTTACAGAGCCTTTGACTTTCATAGATTGCCCTATTAGAAAATTCATCCACCTCACTGTTCTGCAACTCCTCGAGAACCTCCATGGCTCTCACTTTTTTCTTTTTTTAAAAAAAAATAATTTTTTTGTGTCATCTTCTCGGCACTGAGTGTTTACTAAAATAGGTCACTCTGAAAAGTTAAAGCATTAGAACAAAATTTCCCTTAATCACAAATTTTCCCTATTTTAAGTACTTGATTTGAGATTTTGAATGAAACCCATTGCCTATTCATTAACCCATTAAAAACTTGCCTAAAGGCTGGTCACTCAAAAAGTGATCAAGTCATTTCAGCTGAAGAAATCTGTTATTTGTTTTACCTGAAGCCCACTCTGATTTTTTTATCAACTTTTTGAAATATAGCCAAGCTTATCCAAAAAATCTGGGTAGAATTCATGGCTTGATTTTTGAGATATCATCGTGCAAAATTTTTCCGAGGACTTTCTTGACAACCTAATAGATCAAGGTACGATTTCTGATAGACTCAAGACTTTCTTGGGCAAGGCTAGACAAGTTCAGAAGCCAAATCAGGAGCTAGCTTATATAATAGCTCTGGAAAAGTTGTTCTGGGAACAACCCTGTATTTCACATTTGACTCTTTAGTCACTTGTCTCACTTGTTTATCAATCGAAACGCTTTCCCATTTAGGACTCTCATCGAAATGACGTCTACAGTCTGGGACTTGTTTTGTGGGAGATTGTTGAAAGAAGGTTTATTTACAGCAAAATTATATATCTACTCAATTGTAGGCTTGTTTTCTCCGAGTATGGCCAGCACGGAGACTTCAATCGAGAAGGTTTCAATTATGACATCATCCAGAACCAATTGACACAACTTGTTGCTGCAAATTGTCAAGGGGAAATTCAAGGTGTGATCAAAAGGTTTGTGCTTGATTGAGTAACTCATTGCGGGAGAATAGATGTACGGATTTTGATCGTAATGTTCGACCGAGAGCCATGGAGGTTCTCGAGGAGTTGCGGAGCAGTGAGGTGGATGAATTTTCTAATAGGGCAATCTATGAAAGTCAAAGGCTTTCAATTAAATGGTTGAAAAATTGATAGGAACTAAAAGTAGAAGTTTCAAGATCAATTAAATATAATCTTTTCAGCCCGATTCATTCATTGCCACTTTGGATTTTTTGCCAATCGAAGAAAAAGACGAAACAATACTTTTCCATCCGATCGGCTTTGACGGAACACACAATAGGATTCCAGTCGAGTCCTCCGGTTTTGACGATCTCCTTCCACATCATCCATAAATTCTTGTTTTTCAAATAAACATACAAACTCAGCTGTGCTCAGGAATTTTTGCCGTTTGCAAGCCTATTCTACATTCACTGAATTTCTCAATCTTTTATAATAAAGAAAATCTTTCAGATTCAAGAAAGATTGACGGAGACAAGCCGAACTCCCACTACATACTGGTTGCCTTGAGATGCAAGCGATGTGCGAGAAATGTTTCAAAAAACAAAGTGAACTCAAGGAAAGGAAGCAGGTGCATCAATGTGAAGCCAAAGTCTGTCTCACTTGAACATACAATGTGATCGGTGAGTAGTTTTAAGAAAACTTGAAGTAAAACTATCTTTAGAGTTGCTTTCAAGTGGATGCGTTTTGTTGGACAAAAGCAAAAAGGGATACGTGAGAACGGGAAATCCAATTAAAGTTCCTGAATGCCCGGCTTGTCATCAAAAATGTGAGTTATGTCCTTTTCAAAGAACTCTTTCACTACAGTACAAGAAAATGAAATCAAAGCAGAATATCAAATGAAAGCTTTGAAGTTCTCCAATTGAAGTCTTTTTACTATACTGGTGTACTATCGACACAAGTCAATCTTTAGAATCAAATCTAAGATCTGACAGAGATAGCTTCAATTCCAGATTCACTCGAAGCCATTCAATCGGAGCCATTCACTCTTAGTTGTGGCCACGATGTGTGCTATGCCTGCTCGCATCAGAGGCTAAGGGAAACTTCAGGTTCCATCACCTGTCCACAATGCGAAAAGTGTTCAAGTTACGACTACGTTTATGGGCCAAGGGAATCACTTTTGAAAGGTTTGTGTTGAAAGTTGCTGCGGTAGAAAGTACGAGTGATGCGGTTCCTAAAACTTTTGGAAGGTACTGTAACCTTTCCATGAGATATTTACCGGGAAGGAAGACTTCAATGTACCGACATTTTAGAAAATTCTATTTTTCTATTTCTATTTTTCTCGTTACTCACGAGAAAAATAGAAATTTATGCCAAAACAAAAATGAAATCTATCAAACTTTTTCAGCTTTCCTTCAAGAATTCAAAGAACGAGAGCTATTGGAAATCGACATGAAGAGAGCTTGCTGTGATTGCGGAAATAAGGTTGGTGCTTTAAAAATACCGAAAGTACTAGCATGAATATGCGAAAATTTGGAGCTGAATAAGGATGCCTTTATAAGGGTTTTCACACGCGCGGGTGACTTGATGGTGTAGTGGATGAAAGGCTTGCATACAAAACCAGCGCTCCGTTTTTCGCTCGAGTTCGATTCCTTTTTTGGCAAAACCTTTGCTTTGCGTTTTCCACTGTTCTCTGTGTACACACACACACAATCGCACACCATCTGACATACCATCTATACACATAGGGAGCCCTAGAAAATTTTGTCTAATTGCCTAATTTAATTTATGAGTAATTTTTAGGTGAAAGCCGTAGGATAAAAGATCTTCGATGTACCAGAATCGGTAATTGATCTGGGACTCAAGTTTCCCATGAAATTTGTGAATAAGACGCTAGCACACCGCATCGTTCACATAAAGATTGGTAAACAAACTTGTGATTATCAGATGGAGTTGCTAATTTAGAGAAACAATCAATGCACAAAGTGTGGACAAAGAAAAGAACATATGGCTCACTTTCAGAGCTTTCGATTGAATCTAGAGTTGGATTAAGAAATCTTTGAGCCTATAAATCTTTCATTCTTTTTGGCACATCTAACATTTATGGATGGTGACTGATTGTAAAGTTCTGACATAGCCACTCTTTTTCGCATTCAAAACAAAATAATCGCTTGAAAGTAGCTCTGAAATTTACCCAACAATTAGGGATATTCTATTTTCAGGAGCACGCCATAAGCTGCTGAAGCGGAAAATTTCCAAGTTTTGAATGATGGATGAAGCTTCAAAGGTTCAGAATTGATATCTTTCTATAGTTTTTCTCAATTTACTAAAGAAATATTTGATTATTTATTGAAAAAAATAGAAATAATTGAGCCAATGGTGAAAAAATTGAACAACGGTAAGTTCCATCAATGACTATACTTCGATCGTTGCTTAAATTTCTCAGCATTATTGAGTCGCAGAAACAGAAATCACAGTAAAACTAGAAAAAGAGATAGCTTAAAAACAAATGAGTCTTGGTTTTTGGTTTTTGTTATAGATTAACACAAACTTATTAACAACAAGTTACATAAAGAAGCTAAGATCCGTAACTCCAAGAAATCTTATGAAGTTTATTTTGCCTCATTGAATTTGCTGAGCAGCTTCTAAACTTTGAGAATAATAAATGCCCTATCTTGACATTAAACCTCAATCCCAGTGTTACATGATCGCAAATCGCCCAGATATTTCTCACAAATCCCCTCAAATTCCTCACTAATAGCTCTGAAAGTTGTTTTTTTCTTTTTCAAAATTCTATAAACTTACAAACAATCCCCCTTTTCGTACCTTGCTGGATCATAATTTAACCGCTCAATTTTGCCGGCTTTTTCAAGAGCTTTCTGAAGAATCTCTGGAATTCCTCACAAAAATTTGCAAAATTTACCTCTTGAAAATTGTGGATTTTTTTAATCAAATCCGCTTGAAGCTCGGGAAAACAGACATCATAAGCTTTAATTTGCGAGGTGATCACTTCATAAGTTGCATTCATCAATTTCTTCGCCTGAAAATGGAATGTTCTTCTGGTTATTTGTAGATTCTTTTTTTCTACCTCTACAACTTCCAAATCGACGATTTTATGCTGTCGATGCTTTTTCACTACACATAAAGAGCAAAGCTAAATTTTGATTTATACTTTCATTTTACACATCACATGAGTGTAGCTTTTGAAATTCTTTAACATTCCTGAAAGCGTTAACTGAAAAATGCACAAATTATCCAAAAATTATAAACTTCTATTTCCAAAAATCTTTTCTCAACGAACCATTACTTTTCCACAATCGTTACATTGAAACATTTCAAACAAAGGCGCCTAAATAGATTTTGGCAATGTTAAATCTAGAGGAAAACTTCTTTCTCGCAATCGCCACATGTTCTTTTCGATTCAGTTTGTTTCTCCGACAGTTCTCGCAAAAAGACTGAATGATTTTAACGATTCAAGTTTGGGAGAAAAGCAACCAACTTTTCAATGGATTCTCCCATGATCCTTGAGCATAAGAATCGTTCCGTTTGCATTGTGGACATTCGAGATCATATTTAAAGAAGCTCTTATGGGTTCTTGGTTTTGACATTTTAGCAAAACACCCATTACATATCCCGTGGCCACAGTGGAGAATGAATGGTTCTCTTTGTGGGTTTTCTATTGAGTCTAATGTTTCATCATTTTCTAAGAGTACAATGAAATCACCCACATTCTTCATTACAAATCGGACACTCAGGAATTGTGATTGATTGAGTTGTTTGAACGTATCCCATCAAATTTTGATTCAACGTAAAGCACCCACTTGAGAGCAATTCTAAAGCAATCTGATTGTTTTCGTTTTTCAAAGAGAATTTTCTTTGATTACGTTGAAATTTACTCACCCATCAAGCAATATGAAGGATACGTCGTGTACTCGAAACAATTGTGCTCTTTGCATTGATGTGCTCGAATCGCTCGGGCTATTGCTCGTTGTTCTTCACGACATTTCATGCACACTGCTTGAATATCATAACACCAAGTTTGTGTCGGTGTATTTACTTCATTTGCCGTTTTTGAGTCTGAAATACAATTCTGTACATTTTTGTTACAATAAGTTAATGAAAAAATAATGCGCTTTTTTGGATTCAAAGTAAAACTTACACGGCGTCGAACAGAGTGCACAATTGAGTGATTTGAAGATCGGCATTTTAAGAAAAATGGAGAACTAAAGAAAAACTGTAAGCGATCTTCTCTTGCCTTGCCATGGGCCGGTGCCCCAAGAAAGGCAAGAAAAGAATCCTATTCAAATAGGCAACATCGGAAGCAAGAGGGCGATAAAAGCCTCTTAGCAATTCTTTTGTCAATTCATCGACGGTCTGAAATTTTTAAGGCAGCTAATACAATAGGACAAAAATTCTAATGAAAGGGATTTTTTATGGGAAAGTGAAGTGAAAGAAAAGAAAGGAATGATAGTTTTGGTGGAAGAACACATTTGAAAATGAGAAAGAGCCACATTTCATTTTAAATGGGAAAAATTTAAAAAGATGAGAAAGAAAAATGTTTTTCTTTTTTTGTGCGTTTAGCACACGTGGTTTTACTGGAGTCAATATCTATGTTAGGCTATTCATTTTATCTTTACAAATCAATTACAACAAAGAAAAAATTACAAGGGAGCAAGTACCAATTTCCAGAGATGTCAGGACTCTCTAGAGTTTAGTTTAGCTGCTCCAGTGACTTTGAAGTTTTTTCAGGCAGGGTTGGCCGTTCATTTGGCTATTCAGGGATGTTCCAGCCGGACTCGGGGTCTGTAAGCCAAATTAGGCCAAGCCCGTCCAGGTCAGGCAAGGTAAAGAGACGGCTATAGTGAGGGTGACACTAGATCAAGGTATGGTTTCTGACAGCCTCAAGACTTTCTTGGACAGGACTAGACAAGTTCAGAAGCCAAATCAGGAGCTAGCTTGCTGAAAAGTTGTGCTGGGAATCACCTTGTATTTCAGATTTGACTCTTTAGTCACTTGTCTCACTTGTCAAAAGAGTGTTTATCAATCGAAACACTTTCACATTTAGGACTCTCATCGAAATGACGTCTACAGCTTGGGACTTGTTTTGGCAAACTATGAAAGTCAAAGGAGTTTGGATAGGGCAAACTATGAAAGTCAAAGGCTTTCAATTAAATGGTTGAAAAGTTGATAGGAACTAAAAGTAGAAGTTTCCAGATCAATTAAATATAATCTTTTCAGCCTGATTCATTCATTGCCACTTTGGATTTTTTGCCAATCGAAGAAAAAGATGAAAAAATGCTTTTCCATCCGATCGGCTTTGACGGAACACACAATAGGATTCCAGTCCAGTCTTCTGGTGTTGACGATCTCCTTCCACATCACCCTTAAATTCTTGTCTTTTAAATAAATATACAAACTCAATTGTGTTCAGGCTTTGTACTACAAAAGTGCAACTCTAAAATTGTTCAAATATGAATTCTGAAAAGCGCTTATTTGACAGTGCAAGGCCTATTTCCTTGCAAGACTATCTAGCAGCGCCTTTTACGCGGCGAATAAATTAGGAAGGAAAAAAAGGGAGTGGAAGTGAAAAGCGCCAATTCCCTTTGTTTAATCAATAGTGTCATGACTTCAAACTGTTATTGGCTTCATTCCTAACCACTTTCATGATGTTGTGCTTTTATGAGACCCCAAACTAGCTATCAAGAATGTAATGGACGTGATGACCTATGGAATGGTCTACGAAATTCTCAATTATCGATGTTTCATGACAATAACAATGTTCGATTTCCATGAGCATTGATTTTTGTTCTGATTTTTACGATTTGTAAGTAAAAGAAATCTTTTATTCAGAAATTTACAATCGCAAAATTTTGAGGTTATTTAAAACAAATGTAAGGGAAATTATCAATGTCTTTCAGAGAAAGTCGCATTTTCTACAAGTTTCTTTTTTTTTGCTCGATGCATTAAACTTCTTGGTTTGCTTCTGTAGGTAGTTTTCTCGAAAAAAAGGAACTAAATTTCTTTGCCTGAAAGAAGTTAAAGAAGAAATTCTACTCGAATTACCAAAAAATAAAAGCAGGTTCTCCACCGAGTAACTGTTTTCCATCAAGGAATCAGTCCCGAAACCAAGAGTGAGCCTTTTCAAGAAATTTTTATTGAACGGACTGATGGATGAACAATTTTCAAATAACAAAAGTGAGTAAGTCCGGTTTTATTATTCTTGGAAAAGTGTTCTTGAATTTATCAGTTTCACGCAACAGCCCCGACCTCCGTTTTGTTTACGAGTTTAGGGATCAATCGAAAAAATAGCGACATTTCAAACCCACCGCACATCGGCGCGAAAATGCGATCGCCGTTAAATTTGCTCAAGGTAAGTGCTATTTGATGCAAAAAAAGATTTCCTGAATTCGAATTTGAAAGAATTTTTCGAATCCGTCTGAGAGATTTTTTTAAAATCGCAAAAAAATCGAAAAAATCACTATTTTTCCATATAAACACTAAAATTGCTCCTCTTTTACAGGCTGATTCTTGGCGAAAAGGAAATTTTGGTGAGCGTCATACACCAAAGTTTATGCTCAAGGGTCTTGTGCACATTTTGACACCAAAAAGAGATCAATTCGATGAATCTGTGAAAAGTTGATGCCTTTTGCACGCAAAAGTAGCGTTTTTCGACTCTCAGCGTGCTAAAGCGTGGAAAACTACCGTAGCCATTACACAAATAAAAAGAAAATTATAAAGCTTTTTCAAAACACTTGTACTACTGTATCTTTAATGAATCAAACGAATTTAAGATTTGCTGATGGATTTGTCACTATTCAGCTTGAACAGCTTTTTGCATTACAAATCACCTTTTGTCTACAAATTTTGACCGAAATTAGTCATGCAAACACCTGCTCGAACCATGAGTACATTAGACATGGAAGTTCTCTGTCTCTGGAATACTTAATACTTAGAATACTGGTGTTGCTGAAATCAAATGATGCTTAGTATTGAAGTTTTTGTTGAAGTTCAAGTTAAAAATCTTATTTTTTTACCAAAGTCCTGCTTCATGCGCTGTTAAAAAAATCGAAAACTAAGAATTTTATAGGTACCGTTTTTGGGCCCATTCAATGATGGCCGGTCAACCAAAAGATTTTTTAGGCTTGGCTAGTAAATATTGCTAATACTTTCAACATTACTCTGGTCATTGTGATTAACTGAAATCATCAATTACCCGTTCATTTAACTATCCAAATCACTT